AAAAAGGAGGCGCAACGTCTGGTGGGCCTCTTTGGATTTTGGAGGCAACATATCCCTCATTTGGGTGTGTTGCTGTGGCCTATTTATCAAGTGACTCGGAAAGCTGCTAGTTTTGCACAGGGCCCAGAACAACAGAAGGCCCTGCAACAGGTTCAGGCTGCCATGCAGGCTGCTCTGCCACTTGGGCCATATAATCCGGCTGACCCAGTGGTGCTTGAAGTGTCTGTAGTAGACAGAGATGCTGTTTGGAGTCTTTGGCAGGTTCCTATTGGTGAATCACAATGCAGACCCTTGGGATTTTGGAGTAAAGCCCTGCCATCCTCTGCAGATAACTACTCTCCTTTTGAGAAACAGCTTTTGGCTTGTTACTGGGCTTTGGTAGAGACTGAACACCTAACCATGGGCCACCAAGTCACCATGAGGCCTGAGCTGCCCATCATGAACTGGGTGTTGTCTGACCCACAGAGTCATAAAGTTGGACGTGCACAGCAGCACTCCATCATTAAATGGAAGTGGTATATCAGAGACTGGGCTTGAGCAGGGCCTGAAGGCACAAGTAAGTTGCATGAGGAAGTGGCCCAAATGCCTATGGTCTGCACTCCACTCACATTACCTTCCCTGTCCATGACAAAGCTGCAACATGGGCCCCGGTGGTGCATGGTTAACCACTCAGCTATTAAACGTAAGGGCGGTGGTTTGCCCAGCAGCTGGAAAAGGACATGGTGGGGGTAAAGACGACAGCCTTGGAAATGGTTCTGCCCTGCCACTCAGGGTCACTGTGAGTCAGAATCAGTTTCACGGCACAACAGCAATACCGACACCTGAGGAGGCAAGTCAGTGGCAGAGAGTGGAGGCCTCAGACAACAGTGTCTGTGGGAAATCCATTCCCTGACTCAAAATCTAGTCATTTCATCCCAGAGGGGGAAAGGTGACTTTGACAGGGAATGGGAAACAGCCCCATTCTGCTCACTTCTTACAGTGAGGCTACCTCCCTGAGGTGGTCACTTCACGGTTCAGGTTTCTTCATTTCTGCTGTTTTGAATCTGTTTTTAGGTTCATGCTCATGTAGGATTGTTACAAAGTTAGAAAATTCCTTTTTTTCTCTAGTGATTTACGTTTCTTAGTCTAGTATTTACCTAGTAATACAAATCTGTCCTGGAGGAAGTGCAGCCGGAATGCTCCTTAGAAGCGAGAATGGCCAGACTTCGTTTCACCTTAGGTCATGTTGCCAGAAGGGACCATTCCCTGGAGAAGGATGTCGTGCTTGGTGAGGGGGAGGGTCGACGAAGCAGGGGAAGAAGGCCCTCCTTGATGAGATGCATTGACACAGTGACTGCAGCGATGGGCTCATTCACAGCAAAGATTGAGAGGCTGGCACAGGACTGGGCAGGGTTTTGCTCTGTTACACACAGGGCACTACTAGTCAGAGCTTAACAGCTGACTGTTCTCTGTTAGTGTTTGCATGAAGTTATCTTTCTGTACTCTTTCAGTCCCTCCCTGTATTTACAATGTGTTTCTTATTAACACTCTGCAGTTGTTGCTGTTTGCTTATCTAGTCCAACAGCCTCTTCAGCTGGAAAGTTTGGTCCATTCATACTCAGTGTAATCACTGACCCGGCTGCAGTTTGTTTTTGATTTGCTTTCAGTCTTTCGTTCCTCTTCTGCCTTCTTCCAGGTTCACCATGTGAACCTGGTGTGGACGGCTCACCCAGGAGCCCTTGCCTGGCAGCCGGTGTGTGAGGGACACTTCTGTTTGTGCTGTGTGTCTCCAGTGGTCGCTAAACAGATCACCACAAAACCTGCAGCTCAGAGATAACTCCCTGTGAGGACAAGGACAGATGGGCAGTCCTTTCTATGCACACACACACACATGACCCCACAGGCCTGGGGACAGGGTCCGACACAGGGCTCTTGGGGCTGAAATTGGGGTGTTGGCTGGTTCCTTCCAGAAGCTCCGGGAGCATTATCTCTGGCTTTTTCCAGCTTCTAGAGGCTTTAAACATTGGGATGTTTCAATAGATAGATGCAGCACTGGAGGCGCTCACTTGTTTATGCCAGTAACTTGGAAGACAGCTACCTTGCCAACCGACTGGAAGAGATCTGTCTATGGCTATTTCAAAGAAAGGTGATGCCACAGAACGTGGTAATTATCAGACAATCTCATTAATACCACACGCAAGGGAAATCTTGCTGAAGATAAATTAAAATTAGTTGGAGCAGTATGTTGACAGGGAACTTCCAGAAACACAAGCTGGATTCAGAAGAGGATGTGGAATGAGGGATATCATTCCTGATTACAAGTGGATCTTGACTGAAAGCAAAGAATACCAGAAAGATGTTTACATGTGTTTCATAGACTATGCAAAGCATTTGATTATGTGGTGGTGGTGTTGCTATGTGTTGTCGAGTCGGACCTGACTCATAGCGACCCCTCCTTGGGTTTCCGAGGCAGTATCACTACTAAATTAGATTGCCCCATCTTCCTTCCGAGGAGTGGCTGGTGGGTTTGAACCGCCAGCCTTCTGGTCAGCAGTCAAGTGCTTTAGGCACTATGCTACCAGAGCTCCCTATTTGACTATGTGAATCATAACAAACAAATTATAGATAACATTGAGAAGAACAGGAATTTCAGAACACTTAATTGTGCTCATGAGGAACCTGTACATAGACCAGGAGGGTATTGTTTAAACAGAACAAGGACATACTGCATGGTTTAAAATCAGGGAGTGTGTCAGGGTTGTGTCCTCTCACCATACTTATCCAACGTGTATGCTTAGCAAATAATCCACGAAACGGACTGTATGAAGAACAGCATGGCAGCAGATCAGAAGAAGACTCATTAACACCCTGCAATATGCAGACAACACAACTTTGCTTGCTGAAAATGAGGACGACTTGATGAACTTACTGCTGAAGACTGAAGACTACAGTCTGCAGCATGGATTACATCTCCACATAAAGAAAATGAAAATCCATACAGCTGGACCAATAAGCAGCATCACAATAAATGGAGAAAAGATTGAAGTTGTCAAAGATTTCATATTACTCAGTTCCACAATCAACACCCATGGAAGCAGCAGTCAAGACATCAGTGATGTATTGCACTGGGCAAACCTGCTGCAAAGGACCTCTTTAAAGTGCTGAAGACCGAAGATGTCTCTTTGAAGACTAAGGTGCACCTGACCCAAGCCATGGTGATTTCAATAGCCTCGTATGCATGTAAAAGGTGGGCAATGAGTAAGAAGACTGAAGAGTTGATGCCTTTGAATTGTGTTGGCAAAAAACATTGAGAATTCCATGGCCCACGAGAAGAACTAAAGGATCTGCCCTGGGAGAAGTGCAGCCAAAAATTTTCTCAGAAGGAATGGCCAGACTTCATCTTAGGCACGTTGGTCATGTTGTCAGAAGGGACCGCTCCCTGGAGGATGTCGTGCTTGGTAAAGTGGAGGGATAGAGAAAAAGGGGAAGGCCCTCAACGAGCTGGCTGGCACCGTGGCTGCAACGCTGGGCTCAGGCACAGCAAGGACCGTGAGGACGGCGCAGGACCAGGCGGCGGCTCTGTTCTGTCGCACACAGGGTCGCGGTGAGTGGGCGCCAACTCCAAAGCACCCAGCAACACAGGCCCGGGGCCCCTTCCCGTGTCCACAAGGCGAGCAGAGAGCATCTTCCAGCCTGTTACTGTCTTCACACCTCACCCTGACTCTAGTCCTCCCGCCTCCCTCGGATGAGGACCCTGTGATCACCAGGGCTGCTGGTGGGCCCAAGATTGTCTCCCTTCTCAACTGCCTTCACATGGTCCATCAGAGTCCCTTTATCCTGTCAGGCACCACGTTCTCAAGACGGGGGCCAAGGTGGGGCTATCTGGGGGCCGCTCTCCTGCTGCCCCCACTCCAGGTGCTTCCGACCGCCCAGCCCTTGCCTCCCACATGCCTCGACACCCTGACGGTTGGCTCCTGACATGCATCCTGTGCTGACCACCACTGCCATCTGTCATTGTCCTCATGGGGAGTAAGCTCTGAGCTTCAGTGACCTCCAGTAATCCTCCTGACCCTGGGGGCAGAGTGACAGGCGTTCCCAGGGTGGCGCACGGCCCCTCCCGCTCCACACCACCCTCCTTGGGACCCAGTGGAGCACACACACCTCCCCCACCCTCCTGACATGTATCCCCGACTCCAACTGCACACAGAGGGCCCACAGGCAGACCCCCGTCTCGCAGGGTGGCGCCTGCGACTGTGACGGGCAAGGATGTGTGAGGGCAGAGGGGCAGGGGGTCCAGTGCTCTCAGGGGCCTCAGGTCTGGGTTTGAGGGAGGCTCCCAGACCACTCACATGGCTCTCCAGCCCGCTGGCCCCTCAACAGGGAGGGACGGAGTCAGAGTAGGGGCACATAGCCCAGCGGCCTAGCCAGAAGAGGCACACAGCACACATTTTTTTCTTTATTAAAAAAAAAAAAAAAAAAAAAAAAAAATTCACGGGCGGCTGTATGAGGGGGACTCACTGGGCAGGAACACACGGGCAGGGGCATGAGGCTGGGTGTGCCTCCAGACTTCTGGGTGTGCCTTTGGGAGTACAGCACAGTATGTACAGGTGGGTGCCTCCCTCAGACCCCATCAGCCCAAGGGGGACGCGTCCCATTCTGCCCCTCGCGGCCGGCCAGGGAGAGGGTCTCAGCCAGCCCTGCGTGGTTAAGAACGGAACCAGCAAAGCCCCGTCCCTTTGGGGCTGGGTGGGGGCCCTGCCCCCACGGAGTCCAGGCTCCCTGGGGACTAGGGCTCGGGATCAGGATGTCCTTGGGCCACACGGCCAACTGGGCCTGGGAGGCCCTGGGAATGGATGAGAACACAGAAAAACACAACCGTTTCAAACCAAACGCACCACGAGCCCCCCAATGTCTCCACCAGGAAACGGAACCCAGAATGCATTGCAATGTGCATTGAAAAAAATACGACACGAGGAGCGCCCCCGCCCCGCAGCCGGGGGCCGGGCGGGGGGCCGCGGGCAGGGCTCCGGCGAGGCCCGCGGCCCGCGGCCCTGGAGCAGCGTCCACGCGTGTCCCCGCGGGGCGCCCTATGTGTAGAAGATGACCTCGGGGATCTGGCCGTCCTCCACCGACGTGCCGTTGTTGTTGCCGGCCGCGTAGCAGAAGGTGAAGCAAGTCTTGGCGCCCGTCGTGGGCGACTCGTGGGTCACCTTGCGCAGGCCTTTGGTGCCGTAGTGCGAGTCCGGGCCCTGCGGGGCGGGGGGATATGGTCAGGGAGCCCGTCCACCCGGAGGTCGCGGAGGAGTCAGGGCCCAGGCGCCAAGTCAGGGGTCGGGGTTGGTACCTTGAGTGTGGCGCACGCCGTGTAGTTGACGTTGGGCAGCACCTCCACAGGCTCCTTGAACATGACGCGAAACGTGCTGGCGGAGCCGTCGCAGCTGAAACCGGTGTCGTTCTGGCCCAGGACCGTGTTGCTGTCGGTGTGGATGATCTGCGGGCGGAGCGCCTTCAGCGCCGGCCCCGCCCTGCCCCACCCCCACGCCGGCCCCGCCCCCAGGACCATCCCCACGCCGGCCCCGCCCCCAGGGCCACCCCCACGCCGGCCCCGCCCCAGCCCCAGGACCACCCCCGAAGGCAGTTCCCTGAGCCCCGTGAGTACACCGGTAGGAAGGTTTCGCGGGCCGCACCTGGATGTTGACTTGGTAGTCGGTAGGCCCATGGATCGACCCGTAGAGTCCGAAGCCCACCACGAAGATGCGCTTGTTCACCGAGAACCTGGGGGCAGGGGCGGCTTTAGAGGCGGCACCCCACGGGAAAGCTGCTTGGTGTGGGGCGGTGGTGCGGCACGTCTACAGCCATGGTCAGGAATGGCCAGAAGAACCACCTTGGGGGCCCGCAGTTCATCGCCTTCAAACCTTCCCGGGGGTGTGTGTGTGTGTGTGTGTGTGCACCGCCTGCGGGTCCCGAACCCCCGCACTCGGACCCCTCCCGTTCAGGCACACTGCCTCCCGGCTACTCGGGTTCCCCCACGCTCAAGTGTCTCCCAACACTGGGGCCCCCAAGCTCAGTTACCCCCTTCCCCCACACTCGGCCCCCCTCAACTCAGACACCCCCCAACACTCGGCCACTCATGCGCAGGGTCTCCCCGCCCGGTGCTCCGGTTGCGACTCCGCAACCCCCTCTGGATGCTCGCCCCCCCCAGCCCCACCTGACACGGTCGCTGGTCCCGCTGTAGCCCCAGCGGCTTTCCACCTGCTGGAAACGGTTGATGCTGCACTCCTTCCCGCGCAGGCAGCAGCGCGGCCGGTCGATGAATTCCACGCGTGGTTTGGGGTTGACTGTGAAGTGCAGGAAGAGGCTGACCACTTCGCGGTCCATGAGGATGCCGGACTGTGCAGGGCCTGCGGGCACAGGGCGTGCTGGGGGCTCAGAGGGCCACGCCCACGGCTCCCCTCCACACTCTCAGAAGCCCAGCAGACCCTCCTCTGGGGACCCCACCCCGCACACGGCCACTGGGACCCTGCTGCTCAGCATCAAGGTCTACGCAGACAGTGCTGGTTCACTCATGCCAACACCCCCTTGGTGCGCCCAGGGTCAGAGCTGGACTCCTCACTCCCAGACCCTAGGGACCACCTTCCCGTCCCACGTGTCCCAGCAGCAAGAAGTCAGGCGCCTGGGCTAGCAGGCTGTCGTCACATGTGACTTCCTCTTCAGCTCACCATGCCCAGGCCTCCACTCCCTGGCTCCCAGCCCCCAGGGGCCGGTAAGTGGCGATCCCACAAAATGTTTCCACAAACAGGGGCTGACAAGCTGCCTGGGACAGGCCCGGAGCCTCAGAGGCACCCAAAGGCCGGGCCCAGAACAAAGACGGACGGAGTGCACCCTCTGATGTTCGCTGATGCTGCAAAACCGACCACATCTCCATCACCTCCATCAACGCTCCTTGTACAAGGCGGCCGTGGCCAGCCTGGCCCAGAGACCCTGCCATACACGCCAAGGGAGACACACACGGGCACCAGGGTCCTGGCTGTTGGGATGTGCATGATAAGACCCTCCCGCCAGACCGCTGGGAGCAGTCCTTCACATCTTGAGGGTCCTCAGACACAAGAGGCCTGACAGCACAGGCCACAGGCAGGACATGGGCACAGCGGAGCCAGGGCCTCCCACCACGGCTCCAGAGCCCGGGTGCAGCCTGCCCGTCTCCCAGCTCCCGGAGGCTCGGCTCACAGGAAAGAACGCAGGACACAGGACAAGCGTGTTTATTCAACCTGACGTGGTCTCATTTAGCCAGCACCGATGGGTATGTGGTGACAGGGAGCACATGGGTGGGTACGGGGGGCGGGGGAATGACGATACATTCACGATGGCGGTCAGTCTTCGCAAAGGACACAGTCCAGGGAGGAGGAGCCAGGCGCGTCTCCTCCGCTGCTTCCTTGGCCCTCCTCTCGGGGGCAGCTGTGATGGCAGGGGGCCTGGGCAGGGGGGGCTCCTGCAGCAGGCTGAGGCAGCTCCCAGGAGATGAGCCCTCTATGTACCCAGGCACCTTCCACGGGCCCAGCTGAGGGGTGACAAGGTGCCTCATCCTTGAGGTTGCCACCACAGAGGAAACGGGGCCAGGGTGGACCCCAAATGAGACCAACAGAAACCACTCATGCACACACATTCACCAACACACACGTACATATGCATGCACACAGGCCAGCAAATGCACAACTAAGAGACACGAGCATGCACACATGCCGGTGCAGACGTGCACACACACACATTGACGTGTGTCCACAGCACACATACACACACACATGCATTCACATGCACACAAACGGTCATTCCAGGGGGTGGTGGCATGTCCTTGACCACGAGGCTGGCTGGTGGGGGAGGCATAGGGGGCAGCCTTGGCGAGGCGCTGGGGGTGCCGTGGGGGCCACACGAGGCTGCGAGTGGACTTGTCAGGGGGCTCCCAGATTTGGGTCAGCAGGTGCTGACCAGTGGGCTGTTTCTGGGGGTGGGGGAGGGAACCAAAAAGGCAGATGAGCAAAAGGACAGGGGGCTTCCAGGGGCTGGACAGGGTCGGACACGGCACAGGGAGGCTAACTGGAGAAAGTTTCAGAAACTGAGGGAGCAAGGCGGGCAGTGAACAGGGCCGACTCAGGTTGCGGGGCCAGGGAGGGGTCGGGCTTGGAGCACTGCATGTATCTGTGCCACATCAGGGGACACTGGGCGGTGTCTGGGGACACGGGTATTTGTCACAACTACAGGTTGATGCTATCGGGATTGAGTGGGTGAGGCCGGGTGCTGCCCAATACCCTAATGTGCCCAGGGCCCGCCCAGACAATGAGCCGGCCCCTGTGTCTGCAGTTCCGAAGGGGAATCCCGGTCACCCGGCGTTCAGGGTGCACCTGCTTGTGAATGACCCACACTGGGAGACGCTCGAGTTGCACCTGATGGGCGGGCCCCAGCGGCTGACCCCTTCCCCTTCTCAGAGCCCATGTCCCCCACACTCCAGGGCTGTGATGGCCTAACCATGGGCAGGGAGCACGGGGGCACAGCACACATGCTAGGGAGGGGAGAGCCAGGAGGGGAGATACAACACAGGGCGCCGGATCTGGGCTTCAGACACAGTGGTAACTCCACAGCATAGGTGTGTCCCGGATGGGGCACACTTACATGAGAAAACGGGTGCAAACTTGGTGGCCCTGAGCCTGGCTCATGGGGGGGGGTGCAGACCCAGGAAGGTGGGGGTGACCGGCCACACTGTGGCTGGACCACCTGGAACCTTCGGGCCTGTCCTCCCACCGACTGGCAGCATCCCTGGGGCCCTGGGAGAGCTGCCCCACGTTGCCCCTGTGGCCCCCGAGTACCACGGGCCTCCTGCAGATGCCTGTGGACAGCAGGCTGTGCGGAAACGGGTGGTGCTGGGCTCTCACATACAGGGCACCGTCCACTCTATGCTCTCAGAGGGGCTGAGGTCACCAGAGAGGCTGGGGCCCGGGAGGGGAGCAGGAGGGGTCACTGGGGGTCAGTAGGCTCGGTGGGCGCAGCGTTACCTGCGGCGAACTCCTCGATGGTCATCAGTGGGAAGCGGATGAGGCCCAGGGCTGCGCCCAGCACCCTGCGCTTGTTCTCGGGGGTCACCTGCAGTTGCTGCCGCTGGCACTCGGCCTCAGACCAGCGCACCACAGCATTGAACAGGCGCACCTCGCGGATGCCCAGCGTGTCGCGCTCCAGGACGGCCAGCAGCGTGTCTGTGGGGGCAGGGTGCGTCAGTGTGCGCTGCTGGCCCCCGAGCTGGCCTCATGAATGGTTTCATAGACACACGGCTGTGGGAACAACCTTCACCGGTGCTTAGTGCCGCACAGCAGAGCCAAACATGCTGACCCCCAGGCCTGCAGGCCAGCGGGCCCAGGCTGCCTTCAGGAAGGGAAGGCCCCATCGACTGGGGTCCCGATGCACAAAGACCCCCAAGTCTCTGCTCAGGCTACTGTCCTCACCACCAAACCCCCAGAGGCACCTCTTGCTCCAGCCCAGGAGCCCCTGATAACCCCCCAGCTGAGGCCCAGCAGACTTGCCACCTGGGGCAGGACTGTGGTGACCAATCCCCGAGACACCCCTCCTACATACACACGCACACCCGCATGCCCAAACACACTTTCACGTGCAAACACATCTGTACAGGAACATGCACCCACCCACATCTGCACGTGCACACACATTTGCACATGCACATACATCTACACCTACATGCGCATGAACTCACATCTGCGTGTGCACTAACACCCGCACGTGCAAATAGGCATGCAAACACCCCCACATGCACACTCACACACGTGCACACATGCATGTGTATCCACACACCTGTACCTGCATACCCACATATCCACACCTCCACGCACACACCCAGTCACAATCACACACATGCACACCTTCATGCACCTGCACACACACGTGCAAACTTACACATGCACACAGCTGCACACACACACACCCAGTGCATGTACACCCACACATGCATGTGAACACACGCACCCTGCACATCCACACACCCGCACCCCCACCTGTGTACACATCACACCCACACACATCCAGATACACACTCCTTCCCTGCCTGCACGCAGACACACACACCGGGCTGCGCAGCCCTCACCCAGGTCGATGTCAGTGAAGCCCTCGGCAGTGATGGCATCAGCTGTGTTCTTGTCAATGTTCTCCAGGCACAGGCTGGCCAGCTGGGGCTCGTCAAAGAGTCGTGCCTGCAGAGATGGCGGGGAGCCGTCAGTGCCCAGTGGGGTGATGCCTACCAGCCTACTCAGAAGTTGCATGGTTGAGGGCGGTGACGCTGGGCTCCAGGAGGTTGCCCTGGGGCCCATACAGTCCGTTCCCTGAGACTGAAAGCCCTCAGGCTCCCGGAACCTCTGCTTGTGAGTGGGAAGGGGGCGCTAGCCCACAGTGGGCCTGGGCCATCAGGAACATCTAGAGGCTGGAGCGCACACCCAGGAGGGCAGAGGGCAGACTCAGCGGAGGGCCGGGTGTGCACGTATGGGGACCTGGGCCTCAGCTGGCGACTGTGCTAGAGGGAGGCCTGGACGCCGAAGCGGGGTCAGGGAGGGAGGCCAACCCTGCTGGGGAGCCCTGCCTCAAGGGGCCCACGATGGGCAGCTGCAGGGGTTCTGAGACCACTGCCCTGTAAGCCCCACAGCACCAGCAGAGGGGCCGGGAGGGCTTCTGGCTCCAATGAGGCCAGACCAGGGCAGTGTGCGGGGCCGCGAGCTCCAGCCACATCCTGATGCCACCCAATGAGGCCCTGCCCCAGGGGGACTGGGCTCCTTGCAGGGGGACATAGCGCCACGGTGAAGATGTCTGTAAGCTGGGCAGGTCTGGCGTCAGTGCCCAGAGGAAGACATGGTGCTGCCTCCACCCCTCCCCACTTCCGGGACAAGGGCAACCAGAGGCCTGGCCCTCGGTGCCTGTGCCCCTGCCCCAAACTCCTGGTCCACACCCTGGGCAGTCCTCCCCACACACTCATGGACACGCCAGTCCCCATCCGTCAGAGCAGAGTCCGACCTGGTGTCCCCCGACACCCTGACGCGCCCTCCCCACTCCGCGGCCCACTGCAGCGTCAGCTTAGAGAGGCACGAGCTCCAGACGGAGGGGACACTGCTGTGACGGGTGAAGAACACAGGCCTCCTGGGAGCGGACACCCTAGTGTGGGTGAGCACGGTGACCCACACATGCAGGCGTACGTGTATGTGCACGTGCAAATGTGTGCGCAGAGCAGATGTGTTTGCACATGAAGGTGTGTTTGTGCGTTCGGGTATGTATGCGTGTGTATGCGGGAGGGGGATCTCAGGGATTGGCCACTCCCGCCCTGCCCACAGGGAGGCCATGGGAGACCCCCACATTAACTGCAGTAACTAGCAGGGGAACAGTGTGCCTCAGGACCTCAGACCGGACCAGCATCTGAGACTTGCAGACCACAGTGCCAACACAGCTGTGCCCTGTGCTCACTGCAGCCCTGTTCACAGGTGGACACCACCCACTTGCCTGCCAACAGGGGGCAGACACACACACACCGTCCACCTACACGCGGGAGCCTGATGCAGCCATAGAGAGGGACGAAGGCCTGACACACCTATGACGTGAGTGACCCTGACAACATGATGCCGAGTGACAGAAGCCAGCGTCTAAGCCCAGAGGGGCAAAGGCACAGAGACAGATAGGACTGGGGGTGCCAGGGGTCATGGGAGGGTGTGCAGAGGGACTGCTGAGGCGCTCAGGGTTCCCTTTCTGAGATGGAAAGTTCTGGAACCAGACAGAGCTGGTGCCTGCACAGCTCTGTGAATGTGCTAAACCCCTGAACTGTACACTCAAAAAAGGCTAAACTGGCAAATTTAACGGCAGCTATATTTTACCACAATAAAACCTTTTTTTTTTAATCACACTATTGAAAGTTAACAGAGATGAAGTAAGGAAACGTGAATTGCGCCCAGCCACCTGGCACAGCCCACGTGTTCTGGGGCGCTGTGCTGTGCTGCACCCCTCCCCTGGGGCTGGGGAGTCGGGGAGCACACACCAACCTCAGTTCCCAACTGCGGCTCTGAGAGCCTCAAATGCAAGGTTATTCTTTCCATCAAGACCCTGGAAACACACACACACACACACACACAGGGGACCCCGCCAACCGCCAGCAGGAAAGCAGGGTGGGGCCGCGGGAGCCGGCTCTGAGGGCCACGTCGGGCCTGGAACTCGCAGCCCGGGCAGGGCCAGCGTGGGGCCGGCCAGCAGGGCACTCCTGGGGACTGCAGGTGTTACAGGGCACCGAGAAACTCCACAATCATGAACAATATGGCATCCCAACACCTGAAGGAAAACACGGACATCCACACGGAACAGGCACCCACGTCTCACACAACGCCGGGTCTGACCCTGCGCTTGCCCCACGCCGCCCAGTTGCCTCGCCCCGGTCCTGACCTCGTTGGACGCCGTCTTTACTGAGGACATCGGCATTTTGCTCATCGCAGGTCACTTTGCATTAGTTTTGCGTTTGGACGGTATTGTGCCGTTTACCTTGATGATGGGGATTTCTGGCGTTCCCCCATCCCCGCTGTCAATCCCACGCCCGTGGCCAGTGCCCGCCCCAGCCCTGTGTGCACCCCGCGTGGCACCCTGACACACCTGTGTGAGCAGCATGAAGGCGTTGTCAGCTCGGAGGTTCTTCTTCAGGAACTCCACACAGTGGGCCTCCAGGGCGGGCACGGCATACTTCTTGGCCGTGTACAGGGTGGTCATGACCGTCTCGGGTCCAATCTGAACCTCGTCTGAGTAGAGAAACCTGAGGAGGCAGTGGTGGGGTGGGAGCTGCTGCGCCAGCCCCAGGGGGAAGGTGGCTACTTGCATGGTCAGAGGCCAGCCCCGAGGAACCTTCCAGAACCAGCATCTGTTGCCCTCTGACCCGGGGCCACAACTCAGCAAGACTGCTGCCCCAGAAGACAAGCAAGGGACAAATCCCAGAGATGTGTCATGTGGTCTGGGGCACACGGCAGATGTGTTCCCAAGGCACAGCTGGCCCCTAGGCCCTTCCCTCAGATACGGAGGCTGCCACACCCTGGACCGAGGGCCAGGCCACGGGGCTGGGCCAGTGCCCTGGGGCAGGGCAGGTGGTGGGACCTCAAACCTCATCCTCTAGCCAGGGTTGCACATTGCGACCACTGCCTGTCACCTCGATGCAGCACCAAGCGTGGGTCTGAACTCAGGGCTAATGATTTAAAAAAATGGGAAAATGGTAATAAGGACATGGCGAAATCAAACCCCTTATTGCTGGTGGGAATGTAAAACAGGGCAGCCCCCGTGGGAAACACACTGGTGGTTCCTCAGAAAAGCTAAACACGGAGTTACCACATGCCGAGGAATTCTGCTCCTGGGCCTGTGTAGGAGCCCAGGAGACCTGGAGGCACGGATGCATCAGACAGCTGCGCCCGTGTTCACTGCAGCCCTGTTCACAGGTGGAAACCTCCCATGTGTCCGTCAACCGGGTGGACACACACAACACACTGTGTTCACACAAGGAGTGCTCCTCAGCCAAAGAAGAGTGAAGGCCTGACACGCTACAACGCAGGTGACTGACACACTACTATGTGGGTGACCTGACAACCTACAATGTTGGTAACCCGACACGTTACAATGTGGGTGACCTGACACACCGCGACGTGGAGGACCCGACACGCTACGTGAGTGATCCCTGACAACACGAAGCTGAGTGAACAAACCACAGAAGAGCACACGGTGTCTGATCCCACTCACGTGAAAGGACCAGACAGACAGGGAGGTCGGTGGCTGCTGGGAGTGGGGCGGGGGCGAGACGCTGACTTTCCGGAGGGGATGGGCCACGCGGGGGCCGAGCGTGAGGGACAAGCGTTACTGAACGGCCCCAGGAGGCTGTGGGCGTGGCAGCCTTTCCCTTACACAGCTATTTATATGGCAATTAAATATGCTCGGGGCCAGGAGCAGGCCCACAGGCCCGCAGGCCACAGGACGCGGACCCCACAGGAACATGCAGGGTGAGCACATCCAGGGGCCAGGGGAGAGCAAGGGCAGTGACTGCCAATGGGCAGAGGCTCTGCCTTTGGGTGCTGGAACATTCTGGAAGGAAACAGTGGTGATGGTCACACAGCTGTGAACGTACACAGCCCCACTCAACTGCCCGCTCTACAGGAGTGAACTCCACACAGGTAGGCGAGGTACACCTCAACGTGAAAGCACAGATGTTGCAAAGGGGCCCAGCACCGTCCTCCCCGCAAAGGTGAGCTTCAGAAGCCCCCCAAGCTGTGAATTCTGGAGGCGGCACAGGCAGGGAGTTGGGTCCTCTTCCCGAGACCTGTCCATGCGCCCTGCCTTGGGAAAGGGCCACGTTCCTGGGAGCTCCGCCCCACCCCGCCCCCGTGGCGGCGCAGGCTCACTTCAGCAGGGCCAGGAAGGCGGCGGGTTCCACGTCAGGAAGCTCAATCTCCGAGGACGTGGTGGCCATTCCCCCGTTGAACATCGCGTCAAAGACGGCGCTGCCCACAGCCAGCACGAACCTAGCGTGTCAGAAAAGCCTCTGTTAACCCTGGGGTCTGTGCCCGCCTGTGACTGGCACTCCAGCTTCTTGCTGTCCACCCACCCAGGCCGGGGGTGGGGGCCTCCCTGGGCCGGTGAGGAGCACCCAGTGGGAGCGTCTGGGCTGGGTCCAGGGTGTCTGCTGGATCTCCCACCAAAGGCCCAGGTGACCCCACAGCAGTGACGTCCCTCTTTGTGCACGCAGATGCTCACAGCACCAGGGCGGGGGGAGCTGCCTAGAGCATCCTGGTGGCAAATACTCCCAGAAATAAGGCATCAAAAAGCAAGTCAGATGGATCGACAGCAACTGAAGGCAGAGGGAAGTCACTTCCCGAAGGTCACACAACAGCTTAAGCCTCTCTGTCAACTCCATCTCCCATCCACCCAGCCATCTGCCCTGCCTCCGTCCACTCGTCAATCACCCACCCACCCAGCACCCATCATCCATCCATCATCCACCATCCACCCTCCATTCAGCCATCCCTACACCCACCCTCCACCCCCAACCTGACATCCATCCACTGGCCTTCCACCATCCCCCACTCCTCTGTCCATCCGTCTGTCCTCTCTTCCTCTATCCATCCATCATCCACCCTCCTTCCACCCACCCATCCCCCATCCCCCCAATGTGACATCCATCCATCCAACACTGACCCACCCCATCCACCCACCGTCCTTCCACCATCCCCCGCTCCTCTGTCCATCCATCTCTTCCTCTATCCATCCATCATCTACCCTCCTTCCACCCACCCACCTCCCATCCCCCCAACCTGACATCCATCCACCGTCAGCCATCCTAGCCATCCATCCACCCTCCATTCACCCAACCAGTGGATGTAGCTGGGTCCTAAGTGAATGAGAACACCCTTGTAAGAGACAGAAAAGGACGCAGAGACAGCCAGCCATGCAGAGACGGAGGCAGAGAGGGCAGCGATGTGGCCACAAGCCCAGGAACATTTGGGGCCACCAGAGCTGGGACACACAAGGCAGGCTCCTCCCCCCAGAACCCTCAGAGGGAGTGTGGCCCTGCCAACACCCTGATTTGGGTCTCTGGCCTACAGAACCATGACAGAGTAAACTGGTGCTGCTCTAAACCCCGGTTCTGGGCCTCTGTCACGTGACCCCAGGACACTGATGCACTGGGCTGCTCCCACTGCGTGTGCTCAGAAACCCGCCGTAGAGCTGGTGGCTCTGTCCCAGGGATGCTGTGTCCCCAGGTGACACAGTGATGCCCATGCTGTTCCATAAATGACAGCCTTTCCGTTTGTGTTCGTCCTCCTCCCCTCCTACAGGGAGTCTTTTACAGGACCCAGAGGCAGGGGCGGAGACCACCAAGCTCACCCTGACGGCCCAGGTCTGTCTGCTGAGAGACTCTGCCCCCCCCGTGCCCTGCGTGGTGCACCTCAGGGCCCCAGACAGGCCCGTCCTGGTCCTAGGCTGGGCCTGTTCCCGCCACACTCAGCCTGTTCAGATCCTCATGAGGTCCGACCACCAGGCCCACTTCTGGGCTCCTGTGCGCCCCCACCCGTCTCTCCCTGCGTCTGCAACTCTTCCTTCTAGCTTTAAAACCATCCTCGTGAGTGCAGATCCAAACCACAGGCACACCTCTCCCGGCACGGCTGGCATCAAGAAGACGGACAGTCACAAGTGCGACTGTCCTCACCCCGTCAGGACGCCGCCAGCCAATGAGAGGCCCAGAAGGGCCCTCCTGGGGAGGCCGACCCAGCAGCAGGCCTGCCCACTCGAGCACTAGGTCTCTGTGCTCCTTAAAGTGTCTCCAGACTCTGCCAAAGGTGCCTCGGTAGCACAAGGGTTAGGCACTGAGCTGCTAACGGAAAGGAGGGCAGTTCTGTGGGGGAGAGACCTAGCAAAACGCTCCCGGAAAGACTGCAGTCGAGGAGATCCCCCAGAGCCGCTCTACTCTGTCACACAGGGTCGCCGGGAGCTGGAACCAACTTAACGGCACCAACAGAGACGTGTTGAGCTTCACACCCGGACCGGTCACCAACGTCCAGGTAAACAGTGAAGCACGTGGGCCTGGGAAGCAGTGCCACCACTGTGGAGAACGGTACAGCACGTCCTTAGAAAGCTGGAAATGGAAATATCACATGGTCCAGCAATTCTCTACCTGCTCTCTGTCCCAGAGAATAAGAGCCGTGACACGAACAGATACACTCGCTGTTTACAGCTGCAGAGAGACGCAGACAAGCCGTGTGCCCAGCCGCGGGGGAACGAACCCACACACTGGCCCCCACACACGACGGGACCTACGCAACGCTAGAGAACAGCGACAGTCTGCAAAACATCTCACAACGTGGGTGACCCTGGAGGGCGCTCTGCTGAGTGAGGTCAGTCAGCCACTAAAGCACAAGCACCGTATGAGACCAACCACTGGAAAAAGTCAGGGAAGGGTTTCACAGAGGAAGAAATAGTCTTTGATGGTGACCAGGGCTGGGGAGGAAGGGAAGGTAAACCACTACCTGGAGGGGAGACACGTGTTCACTGGGGTAAAGGGGAAAGAAAAATAATAATAAGAGAAACACTGAAGAAAAAGAAGTGGTCAACGATCTCACTGTACTTGGATCCACAATCAACACCCACGGAAGCAGCAGTCGAGAAATTAATCGTCATATTGCACCGGGCAAATCTGCTACAAAGACCGCTCTAAAGTCTGAAAAAGCAGAGATGTCACTCTTATTACTAAGGAGTTGGGGGCTCCAGTCACAGTCCTTTCAACCTCCTGATGCGCATGTGAAGGCTGGACAGTGAGCAGGGGGCGTGGTGCAGTGGGTTCCTGGCACAGCGTCTCTAGCCACAGTCTTCGTAACCCCCCCTCACTACCAGAGGGGCCATGGAAGTAACGAGGGCAGAGCTCCATGCTGGGGCTGGCTAGTCGTGTCACTCTGCCAGGCTCAGGATGAGCCTCCTAGGGGCAGAGGGGGTCTCACCACCGTCAGGAGAGAAGAGCCCGAGGGGGAACACGTCCTTGGACCCGAGATCCCTGAGCTGGACTCCACGGCAGGGACGCCCCGGCAGACAGACGCCTGGCAGAGACAGAGGCCCCGGCGGAGAGACGGTGGCAGGGGAACCAGGAGCACGAGACCCGCGGTGGGCGGTGGGCTTCTCTGGCCCACAGAGCGAGGAGGCCGAGTGCCCTCGGGCAGGAGGCCTGCGGACAAGGGCGGCGCATGTGAGCACACTCTCCGCGGAGCTGAGGAGCTCGCTAACACCTGCCTGAGCAGGGCAGAGGCCAGGCCGAGAGGCCGAGGGCACAGCAGAGGGGAGACCGTCCTGATCAAATAACTGTGTCTTGAGTGTGTTCCTGAACTTGAACTGTAGCCTGTTACTTCCCTAATAAACCCCATAATCTTGAGTTTCGTGAGTTCTGTGTGACCACTGCAATGAATTATCGAACCCAGCAGAGAAGCAGTGAGTGCCGTAGGAGGGGTGGCGGGTGTCAGAGTCTGTAAAAAGGTTGGAGGGTGGCAGCATGCTGGCCTTATAGGATGCAGCCTGGGCGGCTGCGGTGACTCTGTTTCCTCCTCGTGAGGCTGGAGGAGGTCAGAAGATGCTGCCTCCACGTCCTTTTTGCAGAAAAATCAAAGAAGAAACGATGCACTTCAATGGTGGTTTTGGTGAAGAGCACTGAAAATGCCGCGGGCTGCCACAAGAGCGAACAACCCCGTGCGGAAGCGGTGCAGCCCATGAGCCGTGCAGGCAGCACGGCGAGACCTCGCGCCACGCGCCTGGCCAGTGCTGTCCGGAGGCGTCGGTCCCCGGAGAAGGACATCCCGCTCGGTAACATCAAGGGTCAGTGAAAAAGAGGAAGACCCTCACCTAGATGGACTGACAAGCGGCTGCAACGTCCCCATTAGTGAGAGGATGGCGCGGGCCGGGCAGCGCTCTGTGGTCACATATTGGGTGGCTCTGGGTCGGAGCCACTCGACGAGAGCAAACAACAAGGAGGGATCCGTGGTCGCCACGGCTGGGGGGGGGGCGGCACTGAGTGACAGAGCCCAGGGCTGCGGCTCAGCAGCCCACAGGGCACAGCATGGCCTTGCTCGGCACCGCACAACCCACCCTCCATGGTACACGCTGCATCCAACGGAAGGGCCCAGGGCTCATCTGAGCCACGGCCGATTCCAGGGCTGGGGTGGGGAAACTGCCAATGAGCAAAGCATCCTACGGTGCCAGAGGGTCAAGAGGCACTCCAGAGATGATGCGAAAATGTGGAAGGCCACAGCAGCCGACTATAGGGGGCTCCCAGAGGCCACAGCGGGACTAGGTGAGCACGTGCGTAATGGCAGTACTGGGTAACAACCCCGGGTAGAACACATCCCTCCACGTGACATCCAGGACAGAAGGCAGGGAGGAGCATGGGAGAGGGCAGCACTTCCTTCTAACAGAATGCTAACCAATAATCGCAGACGGGGCAACAGAAACAGGAGACCACAGGGAACACCGTAGAAATCACAGTGCCAGGCGAGACGCCATGGCAGCACCCTGAGACTGCTGGGCCCAAGTCCCTGGAGGAGGGCGTCGTGCTTGGTCAAGCAGAGGCAGCGACGCGGAGGAAGGCGGCGGACACAGTGGCTGCAAGGGCCGGCTCAAGCGGAACGACGACCGTCAGGCTGGGGCAGGACCAGGCCGCGCTCGGCTCAGGCACACAGGGGTCGCTGTGAGTCGGCACGCCGAACACAAGGACATGATGAGAAACACTTAGCTCGTCTCAGAGAACCGCTCCCAAAGAGCTGTGAATCGCAAAGGGGGACAGCAGCGTTACCGCAGACAGCCCGGAGGACACTATCTCACCAGCTGGAGGGGGCCCGCAGCCCGCACCTCCTGACTCGCTGCACTGACTAGGACACAGCACTGCTTCTTTCTAGAGTCAAAGCCACGAACAGGGTGACAGGACAAGGCCAGAAAGCAGCCCACACAAACAGAAGCCGGGCAGAGCCGCAGTGGCCATACTCTGGGGCGG